TTCTCCACTTATATGATTGTGTATTTAAGAAAAGAATTCACTCTACTTTTCTTCATTAACTGCTTGACAATGGATTGGAAAACACTTTACGAAATACAGCTCTCCACAAAGATTTTAAATGATAAACTTTGTGAAAAGAAGGCGACAATTGTTCAAGGCTCCGGAGTAAACTCTCGCGACGCTAAGTTTAACACATATTACCGTTTGAATCGTTTGGAGATACGGGTAATCACTGGCGGCAACTCATCAATTGGTATAAGTTTTTCACATTCTGAATTTCAATGGTTAATGCAACTATTGAAAAGCAATTTGCCGCAAAGTTTGTTTAACGGCAGAAAAATAATGCTCGGTAATAAAATTGACGATTCTTTTTCAGTGGTCTCCATTGAAAATGACAAGAGTTTTGGCATAATGTTAACTACGGACGATGTCACCGCTTTGCTTAAGCACGAGTTGGTGTTGGATTTCTTGTTGAAACACCAAAGCGTTAAGGGCTCACAACTACAGGAAATGGTCCAGGACTTGTACGTATCGGTATTGGCGCCCGAGATTCAGGCGAGAATTAAATCTCGCTGCCCCGGTTGTAACCCCGTTGGTGGCGACGCAAACGGCACAATCGGTAAATGCATTTGCGACGACTACTTTAAGGGTTACGATAAAAAGTTTGAAGTGTTGGCTGAAGTTTTGACGTTCACTACGGTCGACACTCGATTCAATGCACGGTTCATTAAACTGATGGATTTGCTGAATATTGCCGAACCGGACCGTGTCCTCCAATCACAACTGACTGTTCCAGAGTTCAAGAAGAACACCTTGGCTGTGGTGAACAAATTGTGTGTTTATTTGGACATCAAAGAAGGTGTGGCCAACACTCTGCACTTGATGTTTGAGACTATTGGTCCAATATAGGGCTTTATATATTTAATCACTATTAATATTATTATTATTATTATTGTTATTGTATACGCCTTTTTTATATATATGTTTAATCACAAGTATTTAATCACAATTTATTTTATAATTAGTCTCAGTATTGTTTAGCAAGGCAAATGGATCGCTTTATACATAGCGAGATTGTGAGTGAGACTAGGAATTATAGCCGGAAATTTAAAACATATAATAAAACTATTACTTTTAATTTAAATTATAATACTGAAACACAAAATGTAGACCTTTTATATATTATTGACGAAATAAAAAATATTTTAAATCAAGTTATCGAGTCAATTATGTCTGGCTATGCCGATAATGTTATGGTACGCGTGTCAATTAAAAATACTGAACTGGAACGGGAAATATATTTACCGTTTCGCGAGAAACAACATTTTAGTATCGACCTATTGATGAACGAGGTGATTAAAGTGTCACAGAGTAAACGAGAATTCTTACTAAACGGACAACTGGTGGTGAGCGTTATCGCAGTTGAGCGGCCCCTGATTGGCGGCGGTAAACGGAAACGATCTGATTTAGATATGGATATGTGGCGAAAAAATTCAAACAAAGTCGTCCGAGTAGAGTCTGACGGAATTTGTTTGGCGCGGGCAATAATTTTATCAAAATGTTATGCAGATGGTTCGCGCAAACACGAGTGGCGACGTCTTCGAGATGATACCGGTCACGTTCAAACACATAAAGCGCTGGATTTGTGTCAAAAAGCCGGTTTACATGTAAGTGCCATTGGATTTTCATACGATTGTTTTGATAAATTTCAAACCGCTTTGGGTCCCGAATATCAGCTAGTTGTTGTCGCCACACCGCAAGATATTATATACAACGGGCCATTCGCGGATAAACAAATCTATGTTAGCGTTAAAGACAATCACGCCGATTGCCTCTTATCGATTAAAGCCTTTTTAAAGGTCAATTATTTTTGTAAAGTATGTCTAAAAGGGTACATGAATCTGTTGTCGCATAGATGCGTTAATATTTGCAAACATTGTCTTGCCTCTCCGCCGTGTTCGGACACAAAACGGATGGATTGTGATTCGTGTAATCGGTACTTTTTGTCGGACGAGTGCTATGAAAATCATAAAAAACGGAATATATGCAATAAATTAAAGTATTGCAAAGAATGTAAAAAAGTAATTCAAGGCAAAATACATTATTGCAATATGATTAAATGCAGATATTGTAAGGTATTTGTCTCACAATCATATCATGAATGTTATGTACCTGTCACTAACAAAGACCTAATTGAAATGGAGGACAATAAATATAAAGTGTTTGTATTCTACGATTTTGAATGTCATATTGCGACGACAAGAAACGGCGATATGGTTCATCAACCAAACCTATGCTGTATGAAAATTGTTTGTGATTTGTGTTGGAGTCCCGATTTGAAAGACAAGGAATTCAAATATTGTCCAATGTGTCGCGGCGAGTCTTTAGAGTTTGTTGGCTTACAATGTGCAGATCAGTTTCTAAAGTATTTGTTCACAGAACTTGGCACTAGATTGAGAGAACTGAAGAAGGCAACAAAACTTAGAGAAGATATTAAAGTCAAAGTTATTGCTCATAATAGCAAAGCATATGATTGTCAATTTATAATTAAATACTTTCTCGAAAATAATCATAAACCGAAAGTTATCAAAAAGGGAAACAAAATATTGGAATTAAAATTTAAAAATTATAAATTTATTGATTCGCTTTCGTTTATACCGATGCCGTTAAAAGCACTTCCCAAAACGTTTGGCATTCAAAACGCGGCTAAAGGAGACTTCCCACATTTGTACAATAAACCAGAAAATTGGTACAAAGTCTTGGATTCGTTGCCGCATATAAATTATTATCAAATCAATTTGAAAAGACCTGAAGAGCGACTCGACTTTATTCGTTGGTATAATCAAAACAAAAATAGTCCATTTGATTTCCAATCAGAATTGATAAAGTATTGCATGAATGATGTCACTGTGCTAATGAAAGCTGTAATGACTTTTCGCGACATGTGGAGAAAATGTTTTGGCATCGATTGTTTCACTCGTTGCATAACACTGCCCCAAAGTGTTATGGAAGTTTTCCGAACAAATTACTTGCAATCCAGGCAAATGGCGATAGTGCCGAACAAAGGGTACGATCATAACCGGACTCAATCGTATATTGCAAACGCATGGTTAGACTACATACAACAAGATAAACCAAACGAAATTCTGCGCGAATATAGGCTGTTTAATTATGTGGCCGACGGATTTATCTCACAAACAGGGGAAGTGTTTGAATTTTACGGTTGCTTATTTCACGGGTGCCCGCAGTGTTTTCCCAGCAGGAGACAATTCACGTTCAATCCAATTTCTGGCAGATCAATGGACGAATTATATAAAAAAACGATTGAAAAAGAAACATTTATAAAATCAAAATCAAATTTAAAACTAACCACAATATGGGAGTGTCAGCTGAAGAGTCTAAGAAAAACGTCAGCGGTGATTGATTTATTTTTTGTAAATCATTTGAGAAATTATACTCAACACAAACAAACACCACCACTCTTACCGCGTGATGCGTTCTACGGCGGGCGGGTCAACGCTTCTAAGCTCTACCACGACGTTACGGATGGCAATGATGGTGAGAAAATACATTATTACGATTTTACCAGCCTATATCCGTATGTGTGCAAACAGGCAAAGTTCCCGTTAGGTCACCCGCAGCGCATCCATTCACCAGCCAGCACATGTATTACCCAGTATGAGGGGCTCGTCTATTGTGTGGTTTTGCCGCCCCAGAATCTATACTTTCCTGTACTACCGTTGCGGATAAACAAAAAACTCGTATTCACGTTATGCTACCAGTGTGCTTCCGATAACAATCAACTCGAGTGTGACCATGACGAGAAAGATCGATATTTACAAGGCGTGTGGACAACACCAGAGCTAAAGAAGGCACTTGAATTGGGTTACAGAATGATAACAATCTTTGAGGTGTGGCACTTTGCACAGACAACACAATTATCAAAGACAAGCGATGGTTTATTTTCTAAATTCATAAACGATTGCATTATTGGAAAGATCGAGGGCAGCGGCTGGCCGCACAGCGTAAAGACAGAGGACGCAAAACGTGAATATATTACACAATACTATGAGAAAGAGAATATTCTGCTCAATGCGGACAGAATTGAAGATAACCCCGGCAAACGTAATACATTCAAATTGGCCGTTAATAGCTTTTGGGGTAAGTTTGGCCAGAATTCATTTGATATGTATAAAACTGAATTCATCCGACAGCCGGAAAGATTCTTTAGATTATTAAGTGATGACACAATAAGCGTTGAAGACGCATATTTAATTAACGACGAAACTATTCAAGTGAAGTATAATCAAAAGAGTGAATTCAAAAAGGAAACCATTAGTTCCAACGTAATTATAGCGTCTTATGTAACAAGTTATGCCAGATTGTGTTTGTTCGATGTTATTCATAAACTTGGTAACCGATGTCTTTATTATGATACAGATTCTGTAATCTTCACGTCAAGCCCAAACAGTGATGCGTACGTAGCGACAACTGGGCAGTTTCTCGGCCAGCTTACCAACGAACTAAGCACCGATAAAGAGCCAGACGCATACATTACTAAATTTTTATCCTGCGGCCCGAAAACGTATAGTTATGAAGTATATTATCCTCGATCACAGATTAGAAAATATGAGGTAAAGGTTAAAGGGCTGTCCTTAAATTTTGAAACCGGTTTAATAATTAATTTTTCTACCATGAAAAGTATAATTGACAGTTATATATTAAATAATAGGGAATCACTCAAGGTTCCGCAAATGAAATTCAAAATAAACGCTTATAACGACATCATTACGAATTATTTGTCAAAAAAATTTCAACTGGTGTACGATAAGCGCATGCTCCGAGATGACTATACAACACTACCATTTGGGTATAAAATATAAAGTTGGTGTACAAATGTTGTTCATTGCGTTCACAGCTTTTGGCGACAATGTCGAACTATTATGTTCGCCACGAATTGTTGCGTCATGTTGCTGTGAGGAAGCATACAATGATCGAAAATGTGCCAGTGAGAAAAAAGTTTGAAATTGCGGCGCTTGGCTTCTATGCCGACACAAACATACAATCGTTTGTCTGCTTCGCATGTATGTTGATTGTCAAGTTTAAGGACTCGAAAGATATTCACCAAAAACACCAAAAGCTCAGCCCGATATGTCCGTTTCTTTCCGGCAGAGATGTTAGTATTGGAGATGAAAAGCCCAGCAGAGACGGCCAACCGAAATGCCAAGGGTTTGCCAATTTTTTCAACATTGATTTATTCAACAGGCCAATGTTAAACAGAGACAAAATGTTGGCAAAGTATTCTCTCGACACCCCATACTTGAACATTATAACAACAAGACTTGAAAACTATTTGCTAACTTCGATTCATTCTCCCATTGATATTCCGAAAATTTATCGCTCTGACCGCGCGTTCAATATTGAAATGTTTTTCGCTTATATGAAATCAGAGGAGAACCGGATCAAAACATTCAATGTCCCAGGATACAATTTCGCATACGCCACTCGGGTGGCACGATTGGCAAAACGAGGCTTCTTTTACACTCTATACAACTCTGTCGTTCAATGCGCTTTCTGCCGAGTAGTTTTGAGTAATGTGGCGCATCTTACAATGGACGAGGATGTAGTGGCCGTGCACTACAAGGAATCAAATAAATGTTCGTTTATATGGCGCCCATCTAATGTGGGCAATATTGAGAGACAAAGAGCCGTTGTGGCAAGCACTCCTACGCCTAATAAGAGCTTACAGTGCAAAGTATGTTTTGAAAACGAAATCAACGTAATCTACGAATGTGGTCACTTCATTCAGTGCTCACAGTGTGCGTCCAAAATGGATTCGTGCCCGTATTGCCGCGCACCATTTATACACGAGCGACGGCTCTACCTCCCATAAGTCATTGTCGTAAGCACCGGTTGTCTGTTAAGTGCTTTGCTAATTATAGCAATAAATAATGATTCCGTTTAGATACCTATTATGTGCGGTGACGTTGATGTTAGAATTGGCATCTAGAAACATTGCGTCGCCATCGCAAACTGTGGATACGTCGTCGCCGCCGGCGCCGCCGAAGCCTACCGCTCTTTGGACACCTCAATTTGTACCACTTTTGAACCGATCGGCCACTTCAGATATTAACACAAACCAGCGTGAACCACTTCCTAGCCTCTCAAACACTTTGGAGTCTGCAACAACTCCCCAGAGTTTACTACCTACGAATGAAACGACAACGCTCACTATGAATTCTACAATTATTTTATATAGATTTTTCTTGGGTAAAATAGACAACGCTAAAAATTATATCAAGTCTGTAACATTATATAAAAGTTTGCCTACTAATAAATTATTAATTTCTATATGTGTCAACATCAAGTCAGATTCAATTAAATTTAATGATTATAGTTTAGGTAGAACAAAAAACAAAATAACTCTTAATACGACAGAATTTACGGAAATATTTCGAAAGTTAGCTCACGATGAGCCGATGATCGGGTCGACAATCGCTAGTATTAAGGTCGCAGAACTAGTTGCATCTAAACATTTATCACCTTTTCATGTATCAATTACTAGACGCGAACCAAATACAAAGAACGATTATGGCCAGATACGTGGCATATTGTTAGACTTTGAAGAATTTATGGATTTTATGTTGAAATCATCCGAATTGATGGAAATTGGGAACTTTTAAAGTCTTATCATTAACACAAAGAAGAGCAAACGATGTGGAAACTTGTAAATTTTATATGTGTTTTGACAATATTATATATTGTCCAGGTTGAGTCTACATGGCATTATGATATAAAAAATCGCAATTTTGCATTGCTTACTGACAACAACACTATTTTTCTTCCATCGGAAAATGGGACAGACAATGCCATGTACCAGAAGATTGTGCGATATGATAAAGCGAGAGATACCGTATCATTGTATACAATTTTGGTATACAACAAGGAATATCGCTACACTGAAGACGGAATAAAATTATCGATGGGCGAGTTTTGCAAATTACACGAATACTTGCTACACATGAGGGATGATGGCGTACATCAAATCACGAGTTTCCAGAATAAAATAAACATTACTCGATTTGAGCGGCCTTTTTTAATTACAATAACCCAAATAAATCCATTGATTGTTAATTCGTCAGTACTTGTAAACTATTATGAACGCAATTTTTTGGCACATAATAATTTCGCATTTCACAACTCTTTCATATTAAATTATGTTGAGTATATTGGCTTATTAAATGTTTACCAATATATATTACAATTAAAATATAAGCCACTCACTGTAACAATAGTATAAATATAAATAAAATTTTTAGATAAATATTTATACTTTACACTTTAATTAATTATTCATAAAAATATTGCTGTATAAAGTATTAAAATAAAACAATTTTGTTTGCATAACTAATTGTGTATCTTCTTTAACAGTTGCGCTATGATAAGCTTGGATGAGTTAAAATTTAAACATCCGTTTACTTGTATAATTTCAGGTATGACAAGTAGTGGTAAAACAGTGCTTGTTAAACGGGTGTTGAATAACTGGAAATATTTAATTAATTTGAATAAATCTAATTTACGTGTGTTATGGTGTTATTCGGAAAGCGAGAGTTTGTTTAACGATAAATTTAATGATGTTTTAATTGAGTTCACAAAAGGCGTGCCCTCAACTGACGAGATAAAACGAAGTGCACCTGACTTAATTGTTTTGGATGACTTGATGGACAATGTGAACGACGACTTAAAAGACTTATTCACAAAACGCTCGCATCATATGGGTATTAGTGTAATGTTTGTGTTACAAAATTTATTCAACGACAACAAACAAATGAGAACAATTAGACGTAACACCCACTACGGGATGTTGACAGGAGGACTCGCAAATTTGCAACAACTGAAGAATTACACCCAGGATAAATTCCCAGGAAAATCCAGAGAAATAACGGCAATATTTAAACATGCGACGCAAAAACCGTATGGTTATTTATTGATTGATATGCATCCGACATCATCGGAAGAGTATTGCTTCAGAACGAGAATATTCCGTGACGAATTGAGTAGTGAATTACAGAAAAAGCATTCAATTTGTCCCGTTTACTATAAATATTGATCCTGAAAAATGAAATCAAAAATAATATCAAATAGCCTCAAGAAATCATTGCCCCACCTCCGGTTTGTGACACAGTACCCAATCAAGCAACGCGGAGGTATGCTGAGAAAACTGGGCGGGGAAATGAAAGTATATAATGCTCTGCATGAACTGGCTGACAACACATTGACTGGAAGAATCCCACTCAACAAACGTCAGATAAGATTACTTAAACCACACAAGCGAACATTGGAAAAACTTTGTGACCCCGCTAATCGTAAGTGTTGTAAAAAACGAAGAAAACTTGTCCAACAAAGCGGCGGATTTTTACCAATTGTATTAACTGCTCTAGGGAGTGTATTACCTACCTTATTGTCAAAAGCATTATAATCAAAGCTTTGATATCCTCTTGAAAAAATGTCAGGTCCTACACCAATGGCCGTGTACCCGTACGATTTAGAAACAAGTGGTGTCAACGACCAGCCGCCTCTTGTTATAGATACGTCATCTGGAAATACCCCAGCGCCCTCTTTTGTTAACCAAACGCCGTTGGGACTGCCGCCGCCGCCATCACGAAAGCGGCGAGCAAACCCGATGGATCGTCAGACACGTATAATTAAAATTGTGCTTAAATTGGCTCGCATAGACGGCTTTAACGACGAGCTGAATGTCCTCCGACCAGACGGTACGTATAACGAACAGAGTAATTTGGCTAAACTGTTGACAATAACTCAAACAAATGTACGCAATGTTCAGGGAATGCCTGAACTCATTCGGCTATTACATCGGGCTAAAATTGATCCCGAGTATATTATCAACGAAATGGTAAAAGCGAGACTACTGGAGTTGATTACGTCGGGTGGCGTCGACGACGACAACAACAATCAATCACCCACAGGACCGCAAAATCGCCGACCGCCACCTCCCCATCCACCGCCGCCGTCGTTTTCACCCCAATCGCCTCCTCCTCCGCCTCCGCCTGTTGATGTTGACACTATTGGGGTCCCTGACGAAGATCCGACTCCTGCGATACAACCAACACACTCCGCTGCGCCTGATAATTTAGCAGTGGAAGATATACCGCTCCCGGTGGGTCCACCGCCACCAGTAACACCACGCTCGTCAACTAAACGGAAATCAACGGAAATCCGAACAGACGCAGACGCTATCCCACATAAACTTACCACTCCATATAATGTACCGGTACCTGAACCTTGGAATATTCCATTCCCCGACTCTGACGATGACAGTGGACTATAATGGAAGTCCTCCGCAAAGATGATTTACTTTCTGAACTATATTATAATCCCAAACACCCTGCGTCGCTAAGCGGGGCTCAAAAATTATATTCATATGCTAAATTATTTAACCAAAATATTAGTTTAAATTATGTAAAACTATGGCTTTCAAAACAAAATGTTTACACCCAACATAAACCTATTAGACGACACTTTTTAAGAAATAAAATATACGTTTCATATATAAACGAACAATGGGAATGTGATTTGATTGATTTACGGCAATACAGTCGTGAAAATAATGGACACAATTATATTTTAACCGTCATCGATTGTTTCTCAAAGTATGCACGCGCGCGGCCGTTGCGTACGAAGCGAGGTATTGAAATACTTGGCACATTTAAAACTATTTTCCGCGATGAAAAGCCTACTAAATTACGTTCGGACAAAGGCGGAGAGTTTGATAATAAATTGTTTGCGAATTTTTGCAAAAATAATCAAATTACTCATTTTACGACACAAAATCGTGACATTAAATGCGCTATAGTTGAGCGCTTTAACGGTACATTACAGCGTAAACTATTTCGTTATTTTTCGTTAAGAGGAACCCACAAATATATTGATGTTCTCGACGATATAATCGACTCGTACAATAATTCAATACACCGAAGTATTGATATGACACCGAATGACGTGTCGCTTGATAATGAACATGTTGTGTTTGAAAATTTATATCAAGCCCCCAATCTCAAACATTTGCTCGACGAACAGAATCGGCGTCGGCGACGGCCGATAAAGAGGCTCAAAACAGGCGACACTGTGCGCCGACAATATGATTTGAATGTATTTGATAAATCGTACTATCCGCTGTGGACCGATATGGTTTACAAAGTTGATAAAGTGTACGACAAAGTCGGCCGGCCTCAGTATTCAATTGAGATCGACGGTGACAAGATTAACCGCAGATTCTACCCGGAAGAATTACAAAAAGTGTCTGTCGACAACAATACGTTATATTTAGTGGAACGCATAGTGCAACAAAGGACACGAAACGGTCAAAAGCAAGCCCTAGTGAAATGGAAAGGGTATCCTCCAAGATTCAACCAGTGGATTCCGTTGGACCACGTGAGAAATCTATAAGCAATTGTATAAACAATGATTGCGCTATTACCTCTTCAAGTTTAATCTTGTTTTTGTTTCAAATGATTATTATTTTACTGGTCGTAAGCATGAGTATATACAATTTGACAAAACAGCACGGCGATACAAACTTATGGACGGCTTTACTCTCTTCGTCAATTGGCTACGTGCTGCCGAACCCGACGCTTAAACCAGTAAATGGTGATTTTAAAAAATAAATTATACATTTATAGTGTATTGAGTTTAATTGGTGTTATTTTAATAATTGTATTGTTTGGCAAAATGGAATCGGATAACTTTTATTTGGTTTTGAAAGATAATATTATACCGACCAGTCCGCTAGAAGTTTCAAATTTTATTGGCAATTTTGTGACTCACTACGGCAAAACCATACAATTGTCGGAAGATTGGGAGGTTGGAGTGACAAACATTATGTACACGAAAAGCTGGTATAATATTATGAAAGATCAACAAATCTCATTGGTTCATTTTAACGATGACAAAACATTGAACATTATTTCCCTTGACACAGACCTATTGGCTGGACATTATGCGGTAGAAGAAATTGTATCGACCATCAATGAATTAGTTTACGATTTTGTTAATTTTAATCCGAAACATTACATTGACGAAGCACCAAGATTGTATTACAATAAAAATACAAATAAAATTAAAATTAAATTAGGTATAATAGGTACTAATAAAAGATTGTATTTGCGTTTATCAACATATCTGGCAAGTTATCTTGGTCTACTTGACAGTCAAGGTAGGCAATACCCTGAAGCTCGTCCAAATAGGCCACTTGCCGTCAATGAATACGGAGACGAATCTGATACAATTGATGATAGTAAAATAAAAGTAGTGCCTATTCAAAGGGAATACAATTCAGTTCAAACAATTACAGAACAAACTATTACTGAACCAAATACAATTATCGATCCACCACCACAACAAGAAGGATCACAACCTGCTGAGTCAAAAGATCAACAAAAACCTAAACCAATGACACTTCAATTTTCAACAGACTTATCAAGTACTAGAAAAAAACGTCATCTGCCTATGGATAAATATTCTGATAAACGCCCACTACTTGATAGTGGCGGCGGTGATGAAAATGACGACGACGACGACGGTATGTTCAACGGCGGGTACGGAGCCATCGAACAAGTCTTAAGAAGGAGAAAAGGAAAACCTAAATCGGAAGATATCTTGCTTCCGAGAGGGAAGCGTAATGCTTCAACAGATGAACCGCCAGAACCTCGATTCAAAGATTTTTATGTGGAAGCGTTTCGCCAAGTGACCATTAGAGGACCTATAAATTCTCTATACGTCTACTGCGATCTAATCAAACCTGTGTTGGTGGGGAATTACGAAGCACCGCTTATAAGACGAGTGGAAATACCAAACGATAGAAATTTTGGCGATAATTGTGAAAAAGACTACTTTCAACCGCAATACTATCCGTTAGTTTCGCACGAGTTTAATAGTATTGAAATTGACATCAAAGACGATACCGATCGGACGATTGAATTTGCATTCGGAGGAGTTGACATAACACTGCATTTCAGGAAAAAGAATAAAAATGTCTTCCAATCCTTATATCAATTATTACGTTAATCAAGCCGGCTCAGGAATTGGCGGATTCCAAGGGGCAAGATTTCAACGAGGGCAAGGATTTTTTGGCAATGTATTCAAAAATGCTATACTCCCGTTACTGAAATATATTGGGCCAAAGATATTGAGTACTGGCGCGACGGCTGCTACCGATGCGATTGGTGGCGAAAATTTTTTGCAGTCTTTAAAAACGCGCGGCAAGAAAACTGCACAACAGATTGCATCGGACGCTGGTGAGAGAGCAATGCAGTTCGCGCAAACAGGCAAAGGACGTAGACGTCGGCGTAGAAGGCGTGTCACTAAACGAAAAATTCCCTTAAAAGGCAGAGGCCGGACATCAATTAAACATTTACGAGGTGGTGGACGAAGACGACGAGTCACTGCAAAAAGAAAAATTATACCTTCAATATTTGGCTAAGAAGAAGAAGACGAAGAACAACACGATGAGTCTTGTTAACGAGAATTCTCCAGTTACAGCACTTCCTGAGCTGGATTTTTATTCAAAAGCGCCCGTACAGACATCGATTGAGCAAACATGGGAAGAACAAGTGCGTCCTATTGCTCAATTAAATTCTGGCGGTCATATCGAGTTTCATATAAATAACACTCTTAATGAATATGTTAAACTAAAAGAAACGACATTGTGTGTGCGATTGCGTTTAAAACTTACAAAAACTGATGGTACAGCAATTGTTGCCGCCGATTGGCCAAAAGTTTCTCCTGTTAACAACTTTTTACACTCGCTATGGAGTCAATTAGATTTTGCTATTGGCGACTCACAAACAACCACAGCTCTCCAGACATACCCGTACAGAGCGTATTTTGAAACTATACTTGGCTCTACACCTCATAGCCGCGCCACATATTTAAAAGCAACCGGATTCACTGAGGATGATATGGCTACGGATAAATGCGATAAACCACAAATTACTCGTCAGGCATTGTTTCCATACAAATCGGGCGACACAGAAATAGTATACGAGATGGAAGGCAGATTACATATGGATATGCTTATGCAACCCAGAGATATGATTGGTGGGACAAAATTGAAATTACGACTCATCCCCAGTAGGCCTAATTTTCATTTTGTGACCGATGATGTAAAACTGTTGCCCACGGTAACCTTAGATGATGTTCACTTGAAATTGATTAAATCCCGCGTATCTGAAGAAGTACTTGCCGCACAGCTTCAGGCAATCACCGTCAGTCCTGTTAAGTATATACTGAATCGGGCAGAGGTGCGCGCGTTTACAATTGACTCGGGAGCGACTAGTCGCAACATTGAAAACGTAATTAATGGTATATTGCCGCGCCGGGTGTACGTCGCCTTCACGTCAAATGACGCGTACAGTGGGTCATATACAAAGAATCCGTTCTATTTCCAGCATTTCAAAATTGATTCAATTGCATGTTTTATAAATGGCGAGCAATTTCCGCGCAAAGCATTTACACCTGATTTCGAGAATGGCAGATGCGTTCGGGAATACCTTGAGCTGCTCAAAGTATCGGAACAATTTGATAACGATGTGCGCACAATGATTACTTACGAAAAATTTAAACAAGGGTACACAATATTTGCATTCAATTTGGCGCAAGATTTATCGCAAGGATTTAACTCTGCTGGGTATGTAAATTTGCCGCGTGAAGGAGTGATGCGATTTGAGATACACTTTAAAGAGCAATTGGCGTCTGCCACAACTGCCCTTATATATTGCGAGTTTGACAATCAATTATCTATTGCTGACGATCGGAACGCTTATATGGATTATCGATAATAATAATAATGTGGTCTGACGAAATTGTACGCAAATTTAGAAATGTACGCCATTTTGGGGGCGTGTTTGCAAGAGATCAATTGCCAAAGGCTGTGAACTTACCTGTGGGGGTGATTGTAAACACAGACACTGTCGACGAACCGGGCTCTCATTGGGTATGCATCTATATTGACAAAGATGGTGTGGGCGAGTATTTCGACTCGTACGGACTACCTCCTCTAAACGACGAATTTAACACATTTCTATACAACAACTCTACGAATGGGCATTTCTACAACAACGTCACACTTCAGTGTATTAAGTGTGTGACGTGTGGAGAATATTGTGTGGCGTATCTCATATGTCGTTTGTGCGCCAATATAAGCTACGCTCAATTCATCTCTTCATTCACTACTGATCCAGATTTCAACGACAAACTTATAAAATTTTATTACAAAATACTTAAAAATGTATAACAAGAACATTGAAAATAAATATAATAATTGTTGTTTTTATTGGTCCGAGTTTTTCTCTATGTGCTTGTGCGGCATACTGATTGTTTTTGTAATAATATCATATCTTGTAATGATTTGCATGCTTGCTTGTGAAGCACGTTATAATTTAGATGGAATTAAAAATTTAACTGCAGAGGTAAATTATAATCGTACATTACAAAATGCAGCCGGTCCTTTAATAAAACGTTTAAGATTTGCTTAAACAATTGTTTATTTTATTATCTGTGCTAAATAATTATGTTTTGGTTTATAATATTACAGCACTTTATAATCTTATGTTTAAATCTTTATGGACCCGAAATTAATAATTTTATTGCAAAGCTAAATAATAATTATTTATTACAAAATCCAAGAGAAAATATAATAAAAAGTATTTCATCAAAATTGCTATGAATATAAGCGAGTTTCAATTTACCCAATTCATTCATTGCAGATCTAGTTGTCAATTGGTTAGGTCGACCAAATTGTTCAACTATGTTGTTCATTTAAAATGTGTTTAATGTGTAATCTGCGTAATTGGTTTAGTGAACAGTGGTCGGATCCTATGATGCATTTGTGCATTAATGAATTGTTGCTAAATCTCGATTTGTTCACGTGTTTATGTCACTTGTTCTCATGTTGTAATTGAATTCACACAACTAAAACTCTGAGACATTGTGAAGAAAAATGTCTACCAATGTTTCTTATAATGATTTTAATATTTCTTTTTATAAGGATATGTTTGTTCACTTTAGAGTACTTGATTACAAACGTAGTGAACATTCTAGATATTTTAACCAAACAATTACTATACAATTTCTAACCGAGTTATCATGTAAAACATCGTTGGATATTATTAATAAACAATTTTATGAAAATCTGCATTCAATTATGTTATATTTATTAAAAGACGCTACATGTGACGAAAAGTTTGAAACAGCCATTCGCTACAATTGTCATCCGTACTATTGGCACGCTATACCCCGTAAATGCGTGAAAGATTATGTCGCACTTGATTTAAACAAAGCGATACGGTTCCAAGAAATTGTATTTGATAAGGTTCATTACTACGATTACTATGAATTTGATAGATCAGTTTTGACAGTAGAGTTGGCAATTGTAAGAAAGTCCACGTCACCTGACCTATGCGAACAAATTGGTATATGTATGCCATAAAACACTGAATTTATTGCATTGTTTGTCAGAACCCAAAAGTGTAAACATGTCGAAAACACGTTTCCTTATTACTATGACAATAATTATATGTTGCGATGTTATAGTATTTTTTGGAGACCACATTCATAACTGTCTGCTGTCATGTGAGAACGGTTCCTGTATGATTTGATTTATAACAGTACACACAATCCTGCAAAACAATGGCATGTGACATTATATCAGAAAGTCCTGAGCGGCTTTATATGAAAATGTTTTTTATGAATTACAACAATATTACTGAAACTCGCGATGAAACTTGGATATTTGATTTTTTTAAATTAATGAAAACTGAAAGTATTCGTTTGGAAACATTTACAAATACAGTGGGGGCAACCTGGAACTGTGACCAAGTATCGCCGTGCTTGTTGGCTAATGCCGGTTTTTTTAAACTTAACGACAACAAAGTTATGTGCGCCTTTTGCCGGGGAATAATATCTAATTGGCAGCCTGCCGACCGCCCGCTATACGAACACGCACTCCATTTCCCTCTATGCCCATTCATTATGGAGGTCAATGTGGGAAATGTACCGATAGGACCCGATCCCATTCTTGACGCCCCCGGCGAACCGTGTTGTGGCGGACATATGAGTCGTAGCGCTGATATTATAGATTATAAGACATACGAGCAGCGATTGGCGTCATACGCTTCACATGAAACATTATTTCTCTTAAATATTAGACTATATGCCGAAGCAGGGCTATATTATATTGGTCCCGGAGGTCGGCTAAAGTGTTTTCATTGTTTTGGCGGACTTCACATACCTGGCGGCACCGACGATAACGATCCTTGGGTTCTACACGCAGGCACTTTTCCAACGTGCGGGTTCATGAGACAAGAAAAGGGGCAAGAATTTATCGACGAATCAGTGGAAATTGTTCGCGAATTACAGTTAAAACGCCGCGCGATTGGAACGTGGATGCGTGCACATTTTGTGCGCGACTTTATTGATTTAAAAATGCAGCCCCGAATTCGTGTGTTTGAAGTGATGAATGAGCGATGGGAACAGCACCGACAGCCGTTTACATCATTTTCACAATTGTATGACGCGTGTATAAACAGATATGGCGGACAAGCGCCGCTCAATGTAGGCGCTACCCGCGAACAAGAAAATGAACCAGAAGATACCACTGATAGCGACAATTCAATTATATGCAAGATATGTTATGAAAAGGAATTGGGGGCGGTGCTTCTACCTTGTTGTCATATCGCTTCATGTAAATCGTGTACGAGAAAACTTAACACCTGCCCAATATGTCGTCACACAGTGCAATCAACACTGAAGATATTTTTTTCCTAATCATATATAAACGCACGTCGACTTGAGACAAAGTGCAGTCAATATGTCAAATGGCTGCACTTGAGTACAATGATTTTGTGCACGACGACTTTGTGTCTCGCGAGTGTATGAACACATATTTCAAAGTTATTGAACATACCGTCAGTGATTATCTCGATTCGCATTTGCAAACAATAACCATACAATTTATACAACGCGACCCGCAATCAGTTAGCTCCACGAATGAAGAAGACTTTTATGCTATACTCGAATTGATTGTGGGAAAACTTATTGAGACCTATAATCGTACCAATAAAATCACAATTTCTTTTCATTATAATTGTATACGCGGTATTAGCAATTTAATACCATTGAAAACTGTGAAGGATTACACTTCAGCTGACATACGAAAGGCTATTGTGTACAAAGACATTACGTTCAACAAATTACACAACGGCTATACTTACTACGAGTTTGACAGGTCAATTATGACTATTGACATGTACGCATTTGACGACAGTCTAGAATGAATGATCAGAGGGTCGCCGAATCGCTAAAGTTGCCTCAGTGTTGGCTAGCTTTGGCGTTACGTTTGGCTACAAGAGAGGAGTTGCGATCGCTACTGCATGCTCGCGGTGGAGAAGCGTTTGACAACTTTGGCGAACTCTACGAGACGCTTCGCTCGCGGCCGACTACAGATATTCCCGCGCAGTATGGACGCGTTTATTAACTATATGAACAAAACGATACTTGCGAACGGTGGGCCGGATCATAATTTATTTTGTGTAGTCTTTGTCCTATATAGTATGATTATATTACGTTTATTTTACTACTATATATTTAGTTAACTTTATTATGATGTAATATTTTAATCAATAATCAATAAAAGGGTTCTACACTAAATTGGTGTTAATTATTGTTGCTAACATTGGTTACTCCCTATGGGTGTCATTAGTGTATTTTGGTCTGGTTTCAATTACTGTCGTCGGGGTGGGGTGGGCAAATGAAGATGAGCACAAAATCCCTGCCTTTGGCTGTACTAAGGATGAGTCCCCGCCTTTGGCTTTGCGCATCTTTATGCTCAAACCCCTTATACAACTACTTAAACAATGTATATTTTTAACTGTTTATTAAAATATAATGTATACGATTTTGTTATTTGTTATTTAAAATATAAAATTTAATTAATACACGCATAAAATGGATATGATATCTGAGACCGCAATCGCGTGGACAGACCTTAGGGTTAGTGTCCGGTCGGGAGTGTTGGGCACCGGAAATGAAAAGCGGATATTAAACGGCATTTCGGGTGCGTTTAAGTCGCGATTGTTGAACGCATTGATGGGTTCTTCGGGTTCCGGGAAATCAACGCTTTTAAAGTGTTTGAATGCAAACAATGAATACGTTTTGAGTGACGGGTCGGCGATATATGTGGGCAATAATGGACACAAAATCAGCAAATGTTTCGTATATCAGGACCAAAATGAACGCATAATGACAGGACTGACAGTGGGTCAGGCGCTCACATATTCATCGCGATTGAAAAACAGTGACAAAGAAAGTGGTGTTGAAGTGATTGACCACAAGAAAAATGTCACGGATTTGATGGAAGAGTTGCTAATAACTGATATTAAAGATAATGTGATAGAGAAGTGCAGTTCCGGACAAATCAAACGCATTTGCATTGCATTGGAGTTGACATCAGTTGTTAAGCCATACCTACTGTTCATCGATGAGCCGACCACTGGTCTCGACACACACTCAGCACTCACTGTATGTTAAAAGCAATTTATAAAAAAGATATTTTATAAATATGTTATGGTAATTAAAATATAATTATTATAATAAAACATTTTTAGTATTACATACTTTATTTATATTTGATATAATTATTTTATATAATACCTTTTTAATTTTACAGCTAATTCAATGCCTTAAAAATTTGTCCCGTAATCACAATATGTCAGTCATCGTGAGTATACATCAGCCAAACAACGATATATTCAATATGTTTGACAACATCTATGTGTTGGCCAAAGGAGGGGTTTGTCTGTATTCAGGAGTTCCCCACCGATTGAGACAACATCTCACAGACAATGGCATTGAATGCTATGAAAATCAAGTGCCGATCGAAGTGTTGATTAAAATAGGTTTCAATGGATTACATGATAATAGACTAAAAACATTGAGCGCTAAAAATCGGGAAATGACTGTAAATACGGAAACTATGCGACAAATAAATACCGGATTTGAATTTACTAAAAAATCATTTAAAACAATTGATTACATATACCTATTGACCAGATTTATTCATCGAAATTATTTTAATAACTATATGAGTGTTTTAAAACAAATATTGCTATTCATTGGCGTTAATATATTTCTTGTAAATTGTTTTAATGAAAACATCGGTCGAGTCGACGGTTGCGTGCATTTCAACGGACAGACAAATAACACCTGTATTGTGATTGAAGATGAGAAAAGCATATTGCACCAGGTTGAAACATTATTGCATATATCATCGCTGGTTGTATTATTGATACAAATTATAAGCATTAGTAACAGTTTTGGCACTGATATGCGTATATTATTAATCGAAAATAATAACAGTGAGTGTTATTTATTTAGCATGTTTATGCCAGTAATATATTACAGAACATACAGTTGCATGCAGTTATTTATTAGGTTTTTAAAATTTTTATTTCGTAAAAACTATATTAATTTAAATATAAGTAATTTATTACAATTATCAGTTAATTTTAATTTGCAAACTCAGCATACAGCTAATTGCAAACAATAATCATTTTTACTTATATGTTTAAATATTTAAATTATATTTTAACTTCATTTGAGATTATATACATTTATTACATTTAATTATATAATAAAATTTTATCTTTTACATTTTAGACTGGTATAATTCGCATTTATTTTTCTGGTCTAAATTCGTATGCGATTCAATGCTTATCATAGGATATGCATCGATATATGCGTTTATACTGCAATATTATATTAATATTCTCGGTGAAAATGACCGGTTATATAAATTCTTATACGTTATAATAATGACATTCCTGTGCACACATGCGTTGGCATCAATATTGGGTATACTATTATCAAAACACCCGATTATTGCACTTTTTGTCTCAATAGCCATAACTATACAATTGACATCATTTGATAACTACCTTATTCTTGTCAAAGATATGAGCCCTATGCTACAATTAGCTACCGAGTTTTGTTACATTAAATATTTCTTTAACTCGATGCTTATTTTAATATACGGCTATAATCGCTGCCCAAACAACTACCATAACAAGGTATTACTTGAATATGGTCTAAATGATGGCACAGAGCAGCTATTTAATTTATACTCACAATGGTACATTTATTATTACATAAGTTTGATAATTTGCGAATATATTACATTTATTGTTATGACAAATTATTCGCTAATAAAAACGAGCAAGATTTTAAATATAGTTATTAAACAAAAAATTAAAATAAATGATTTAGAGTTATATGAAATAAGTCCAGTAATTGATACAAATTGCAACTATGTTACCAACAATGAGCAAACTGATCAAGTTTTATTTATGGCCTGGACTAATCTAACATTTGCCGTTAAGAATACCATGTTTAGCACCAGGAACAAAATTATTCTAGATAATATTAGCGGTTGTGTACATGTGAATACATTAAACGCATTGATGGGACCGTCGGGTGCGGGAAAGACAACACTATTAAAGCGTCTGAACGGACAGAATAGCGTCGGTTTGAGCGCAAACACCAAGATTTACGCAATTAATGACCGATGGGTTCGACCGTGTTTTATAAAGTCAGAAGTTTGGGACCACTTATTGCCGGGACTGACTGTACGACAGACACTGGTATACGCGTCGAGACTCAAGAATTCAAGGATTTGTGTTGAATTAAATCACAATAAAATTGTAACGGATTTGATGTCAGAGCTGGCGATCGGCGATACGGCAGACAATAGGGTCGAGACGTGTAGTGGAGGCGAACAAAAACGTATAGTAATTGCCTGTGAATTGACTTCTCATATAAAGCCTAATATGTTATGTATTGNGTGTAGTGGAGGCGAACAAAAACGTATAGTAATTGCCTGTGAATTGACTTCTCATATAAAGCCTAATATGTTATGTATTGACGAACCGACGAGTGGTTTGGATAGCAATGCCGTCGAAGTGGTCAGTCATCACAATATTATAAATTTTATTTAAAAATTATAATAAAATTATTGCTATTTTTCAGGTAATAAACTGTTTAAAAATATTGTCCCGAAGGCATGAGATGACAATCATAGCGTCCATACATCAGCCAAACAACGATATATTCAATATGTTTGACAACATCTATGTGTTGGCCAAAGGAGGGGTTTGTCTGTATTCAGGAGTTCCCCACCGATTGAGACAACATCTCACAGACAATGGCATTGAATGCCAGGAAAATCAAGTGCCGATTGAAGTGTTGATGAAAATGGGCTCAACACCAAAATCACAATCACGTGACACAACCGACACCACAATGTATATCAATGGAGTGAATTGCGATACCAATGCTCTATCAACTATGCGGCCAGTGTTGGGCTCATTAAGCCTAGCAAAGCGGTTCAGTTTTACTGACATATATCACTCGCTATGCTATTCGCTAACCCATACACTCCGGTGCCAATGGGTGTTAATATTGGCGCAGTTTGTGGCGCTGCAAACGTTTGCGTTGGTTATGGTATACAGCGTTAGCCCCGATATAATAGTACCCGACGGGTGTGTGGAACTGGCGTTTGGCGCCGACTGTACCCAAACGGTGGCTGAGCTCCGGGACGAGACGCTCATCAATCAAAATATTAAGCTCCAAGTTTGCTTAATCATATCCATGGCGTTTGTGGTGTTGGTGATGATGTCGGCCACTTTTGGCCAAGACTTTCGCGTATTTCAAAGCCAACAACAAAATGGTAAATTTACTCTTAAAATATGGTTTAGAATAACATAAAATTTTAATAAATGATATTGTTAAAAATAAATTTGTTACTTTAAAAACTATTAAACCTAACTAGGGTAACTTTAATTTAACTAGCAAATTAAAACTCATTAATCTATGTTATTATTTTGTTATTCAAAAAGGCTGGTACAGTACAGGAACTTACCTCTGGAGCCGAACAATTGTAGACCTGATACCAGTGCTGTTATCGTTGCCGGTGTTTTGTTGGATCGCTAACCTCTACAATACAATCAACTTCTATCTACTTACATTAATACTCAATTTGTTGGTCGTATTGTGTACGCAGAGTGTGGCCCAATTATCGGCCATGGTGTTTATTGACGAGCCTAAAGTGACCGCAATATTCGCCCTGATCATTCAGATCGGGGTACAAATGTTGGGCAATAATCAGATACCGGTCAGAGAGTTGCACTACACGTTGCAATGGCTGAGCCAACTATCGTACATAGGAATGTCGTTTGAATGTATCATGATATACGGTTTTGGACGCTGTCAGGGCAATCAAATACCTGGCGTACTCTATGCCATGGCGATTGATGATGATAAATTTTGGCCAAATACATTGCGATTGGCGGTTGTTTGCGCTGTACTCAAAATATTGACGTTTGTCTGTATTGTTGTCAAAACGCATACATTTCAACGCAGAGTGAATGCAAACGATAAACAGTTAACTATTATTGAAAATAAAAAATACAATTATAATATTTTTTGATCATGTTTACCTATCATAAGAGATACAATATTTAATTAATTTGTGTAAACCTTTATAAAATAGTTTTTATAAATTTAATAAACATTTTATCCAACATATAATTATAAAATTAATTCTTGTTGAAAATATAATAATTACGTTATAAATGATTAATGAATAAAATTAATACATATAAATAGCAGCAAATATTTAACTGTGTTAAATTGTTTGCTAACTACTACATGCTAAATTAGTAATTTATCGCAATAGTTATAATGATATTTATTATTTATTTATTTTGGTAAATTTTTAAAGTAATTAAATTTTATTTAATAAAGTGACCATATACAGTATTAATCCACAGAATATTTAACAACAACTGTGTACATTAAGTATGTTCTCTGGGAGAGTTTAATGAGAGCGCAGGAGAGCCTATTTTTGTGTAATTTATATTCCATTCAAGTGTTACTCACATATAGTGTACCTGAATATAAGGAGTGGAGTTTTTAATAAAAACTAAATTAGACATAATATACCAACAGGGCACATTATGATTATAATAAATGTAATCATTATAATGAATAACAGTATACAAAATGTTGAAGTAACGCAAAAACCACGTCAAGTTATAAAGAGCTAGAGAACATTCTTAGTGTACATTGTTTTTGTTATTGTAAATGTTATGCAATTTAAATGCATTAATTATTATAATATAAAATAATTAATAATAATTATATTTGTTTAATAATGTTAATATAGATGGCGAGTTAAGGGTATTCAAGAAATATTACTTAATTTAAAAACAACTTGTTCATTTTTAAAATAAAAATAAAACAATGATTAAATTAAGGCCTTTGCCCCACTGTCTAGACAACTATCCTTCACAAATAATTTCACAAAAAATAAGTAACATAAATGTACATTGATTTCTTTGTGGTCATTATATAAGTTTTAATCAATAATAAGCAAATAATAAAAAATAATGCTCTCTCTCTCTCGAATTAATTAAATTTTTTATATTGAATAAAACAAAATTTGTAAAAAAATATTAAGATAATTTTAGTTCAAAATATAAAGTGTAAATCGCTCTCTCTCTCTCTCTCTCTCTCT